AAGTTTTACTAAATTTATTTCTTTTTTTTTTAAGGATAAGTTTTCTTAAACTCTTTTAATATTTAATTTTCTAATAAACATTTAAAATTACTTTGAAATACTTTTTCTAATTAAAATGATATATTCATGTTAAGTAATATTTTATTTGTTATTATTCTGTTAATTTTAATACTCTTCTTATTCGCTGCCTCTTGTTATTTCTTTTAAAAATTTGTCTCATCTTTACTATTTCAATTTAACTTATTTCAATAACACAATTTTTTTGATGACTGAAACAACTAGTTATTTAGAAATACAAATAAGGTTGGTTGTAGTAAAAATAACGATGGACATAATGAATAAAGAGTTGAATACTAAATTAAAAAAAAATATTTGCTTGAAGAAAATCTTAGAAAATAATTAAGTTGTATTAGTTTTGTGTTATTTTATTTAATTATATAAACTTAAATTAGGGTGATTTGATTTTATTATTAATATCAAATGATATAATATCAGAAGTTGATTATTTATAAATATAAAAGATTTTTAAACAATGTTATTAATTAAATCACATACTTAAAAGCAAAATTTGATTAATTAAGAGTGTTAGAACTATAAGAATTGTATATTAAATAAAAAGTATTGTTATGAATTTTCTATTCAACTTCCTTAAAAAAAAAGAAAAAAATTAACAAAAAAATTTAAATGAACGAAATTATTGATGTTGATGAATATGAACAAGCACCAGATTTTGTGTTTTATAACGATCCTTTTTGTTTTCGTACAACAGAAGAAATAATTGGTGTTGAAGATTTTGAAGAAGGTGAAGATGAATTAAAAGAATTAAATAAAAACAAAGAAAATTATTTTATTGTTGAAACTACTGGGTTTGATATGTTTAATTATGATGGGTTACAACTAACACAAGATATTACATACTTTAAAATACATTTTAAAGAAGCTGTGGATTATATTAAATCAATTATTCAATTAGATATTATTGACATTCAAGACGTTTTTCAAAATATTAATAAAATGATTTTTAGAGGACATATAACAAATACAATCATTGAATGGTCAAAGAGAATGACTTTATGCGCTGGAATATGTTATGGTAAAAGTAATGGATGTGTTATTCGGTTATCTGAAGGAATATTGAAATATCGAAGTATCTATGATGTTGTTACAACCATTGTACATGAAAGTATTCATGCATTTTTGTTTAGAACAAAAACAAGGGATAATGACTCACATGGAGTTCGGTTTCATCAATGGATGACAATTATTAATGAAAAAACACCGTTACATATTACTGTTTATCATACGTTTTACGAAGAATGTAAAAATTTACATAAACACATTTGGAGATGTACTGGTCCTTGTAGAAATAAACCACCATTCTATGGATATGTTAAAAGGTCAATGAATAGAGCACCAGGGCCGACAGATAGATGGTATGGACAACATAAAAAACATTGTGATGGTCATTTTGTTAAAATAGATGGACCAGAATTTCATGGAGAAACATTACCAAAAAAACCAAAAAGAAAAGAAAGAAAGTCACACAATAAAAAAGAAGTTAAAAGTAAAGATTTAAAAGACTTATTTAATGAACTTAAAAAGAAAAAACAATAAATTAATATATAACAAAAATAAGAATAACAACAATATATATAACTAAATAACAATTTTTTTTGTTATAATATTTTTTATTCAATTTTAAAGAAATTGAAAAATATAAACCTTAGGGTTAGAACAAAAAAATAAAAGAGATAAATTCATGTCAGACGCTAACTCAAAGATTTTCCCACTTGCAGAGAAAGAGCTTCAAAATAAATTGATTGAATTTGTTCAACAAGCTCAACAAAATGGATTTGTTAAAAAAGGAGCAAATGAAACAACAAAAGCACTTAATAGAGGAAAAGCAGATATTGTTATTATGGCAGCAGATACTCAACCAATTGAAATTGTTTTACATCTTCCAATTCTTTGTGAAGATAAAAACGTTCCATATGTTTTTGTAGGATCAAAAGCAGCACTTGGAAGAGCTTGTGGAGTTTCAC